GGCCCCGCTCCCCAAACCGCACGGGGTGCCAAAGCATCGGTCCTTCCCTCAGCACGCCTTGGCCCGTTGGACCCGGGTGCGCGGTTTGGTGTTGGGTGGGTGACGAGGCTGTGACAAACCCAGAGCTGGCCCGGGCACGGGAGGCAGAAAGCTCGATGGCCCGGGGTGGGGGCGAGGGGGGTGAGCAGAGCCCCAGCAGCACAGCCAGGACACTGGAAGGCAGCAGGCAGCATAAAGCTAATTTGGTACCCGCGGGGGGTTCTGAGAGCATCCTCCTGCAGCAGCGTTGTCGGGGCCCCGTCGTATCAGACACCCCAGAAGCAGATGGATTTGGTGGCTGCGTCACCCCACTGGTCTCTATTTCGAGTGTTTTAACGCCAGGCTGGCTCCGACGGGACGCCCCACCGGAGCGGGAGGAGAGAAGCTGCAGCCCAAACGCCTGGCGCGGCTGGGTGGAGGCAGCGTTTGCGGGGACGCGTCACGGAAGGGTGGAACGGCTGCAGCTGAGCGCGGGGTGCTGTGCCGGAGCAGGTTGAATGCCGGAAAACCGGGAGCTGCCTCTGGAGCAGATCCCACGCTGAGGGAGGGGGGGCTCTGAAACGCCTTCGGAGGTGCTTTCAGAAAGCCCATCCCGAACCAGGCATGATCCCGGCTCCCTCCAGTCTTCCCGGGAGGAGGGACCGCCACGCACCCCCCCCTTGCCCCAGCCAGGTCTCTGTAGCCGGTGCTGAGCGTGGAGCGACGGGTGCTCGGGGCAGCGGTGCCCGGAGGGGTGCTCCTGCCGCCCCCCAGACCCTTCTCCCACCTCCTGCTTTCGGGAGGCCGGTGTGGTGCCGCGCGGCCCCGGGGATGCTCGGGGGAGCGGGCGCTGCTCCGCACAGCGTGCGTTGCCATCCCAAGCATGGCGCTCTCAGGGAACGCTTGCATATGCCTCGTCACACTATAAATAATTGCAATTATCCTTTGTATTAAGTCATTTAAAGGCTTGCTTTTAGCCCCCCTGACTTATGGGCAATTTGGGGATTTTAGTGTAGGCAACCCCCTGTCGCTGGTCCATCATTCTCCTGAATTGTTTGATCTTTGTTGCTCTCAGCAGAGGCATGGGAATGTTTTTTTTCTGAACCAGCAGGTTATTAGAGGACACAGTTATAAATAACGAGTCTCTGCTATTTTTAAGTGTTTTCAAGTATTTTCAGCACACTCTATCCTGATGGCATGGCATAATCTGCAGAAAAACCGAGTCCAGTTCCGCTGCCAAAGCATTCGTAACTCAGTTCTGTTTCTCTGGCTGCTGGGGAGCCAAGTCCGAGCTCCTGGTCTGCTCTGCAGCAATGCCAAGGGCCAGGGGCACCGCGCCGCCCCGACCTGCTCAGTTCCTAAGCTGACTTTTCTGTTGTGCTATTGCAAGAGGTGTCGTTCTCCTTTATTACACAGAGGAAACGGCCGGCTCTGATTCACAATCAGATTTTGTGTGGTCTTTCTAGGGGTGCCAGCGTCACCACAGCAGCCCTGGGTCCCGGCCGGCGCTGCTGGGCTGGGTGGCTGGGCGCAGGGACGGCGGGGGCTGCCGCGGGCTCTAAGATCAGGCTGCCAGATCCACCCCGGGGAGGGGAGGAGAGGGGCAGGGAGTCTGCTCCTAAAACAGAATCTATACGAAACAACCAAAAAAATATAACCCCACTCCTCTGGGAGAATTGAGCATTTCAGACAAGAGAAATTCTATTTACTTCATAATTTATTAAATTTCAGATCGCCATATGCAATAAATTATAATTGATATAATAATAATGTTGCTATAAAACATTACCATGAAGTACTCGTCTAAGAGCTCTTGTAATCCACACAAATAAGAACCGTAGTTAGGATATTTGGATTTTTCAGTGTTAATGGGAAGTGAACAAAACATGAAGGAATTTCACAGTAGATTCAGGGAAATGTGTCACTATTGTGGCTTCTGTGCAAAGGGTTTCTACGGCACGCCTACAGCTCGAGAAAGGAAAGGCACAGTCGCGCAGTGCGGCTCTA